TCTCCCAGGACCACCCAACCTCCTCCTCAGCCTCTCCATTGCCCCCTAAATGTGCCTCCCAGTGTTCCCAGTGGTCCCCCAGCCCCCTGGCCTCCCTGCCAGTGTCCCCCCATGCTGGGGGGACCAAGTCATACCCCAGTACCTGCTGAGGGGGTGCTCCAGGCTGACGTGCTCCACCTGGCAGGTGTAGGTGAGCCTCCCCACAAGCCTCAGCCGCTCGGTGCCGTTGATGAAGTGACACTCGGCCTTTCTCAACTTCTGGAACACCCCTGTGTGTGCAGGACACGGGTCAGGGGGTGCCCCGTTCCCACCCCCATCATCCCCCAGCACCCACAGCAGTTTGGGAGCTCAGGGGGCCACCCTTGACCCCCCTTTCGACCCCCTCTGCTCCACGGCCTCCGCAGAACCGGCTCTTGGCTGGGGGGGAACCCCCCCATCAGCCCCCCAGGGATGGACAGGCGGGTTGGGGACCTCCCAGTGAAGGTGTGTCCCCCCCACCCCCCCGAGCCCCAGGGAACCGCTGCAGGGCTCCAGTGATGGGGGACACAGAGGGACCCCCATGGCACTCCTCTTCCTGCTCTCCCACTGCCCTTTGCCCACTCTCCCACCCCTTTCCCACCGTCCCCCCAATCCCCAGACCCCCACCTTTCTCACTTTGGGGCTTCCACCCTCCTCCCACCCAATTCCGGGGGTTCCAAGCCCCCACGCACTCACTTTTGGGGCTCCCACCCTCTCTTTTCTCTCCTCTTTCCCCCCTTCCCTCCCGCCCCCTCCCCCCCCAGCTCACCCGAGAGCTCCTCGCCCGCAGCCGGGGGGGTTCCCAATACCACCAGTACCACCAGTACGGCCCCAGCTCCCCACACACGCTCCATCCCCAGCGCCGGGCAGGTGCTGACACCCCAAAACCAGCCGGGCGGGGCCGTTTTGGGGGGTCTTGGACGCGCTCTGATTGGCTGAGGGCAAAATCGGGGCCCGTTTTTCGTCGCATCTTCCCGGTAACTGATGAGTCATCATCGTATCGCGCTTTGATTGGCCAGTGCTGCGTCGGAAATTTCTGATTGGCTTAGGGCAGTTCGGGGCGCTGCAGCCCCGGGGGTGGGGGGTTCTGGGGGGTCCGTGGGGTGGACCCGGTTGGGAACAACCCCCGATCTCCCCCCGGGGCCCGAGGGCGGAGCGGACCCGGTTGGGAACACCCCGCTCGTCTCCTCCGCTGCAGCCGCTTCCCCTGCTCCGGCTGCCGCCGCTCGGCCCCGGCCGGGCCCGCGGGCATCGCCGCTCCCGGCGCGGGTGGAGGGGTCGGGCCGGGCCGCGCCTGCTGTTACAGCCCGGTCAGGGGCTGCCACGGGGTTCTATAGAGGATGACTTTTTCGGGGACACCGAATATCGTCCGGTCTGCCCGGTGCCGCCCCGCCGGTCCCTCGGTGCGGCTCTTCTCAATACGGGGCGGCGGGACCCCCTTGGAGCGGCTCTTTATTCTCTTCCTTTTATTTTCTACATTTAATTCTATTCTCACCTCGCCCTGCCCTCGGTGCAGCCCTTTGACGACACCCGACAGCGGGTCCCTCGGGGCAGCTCTTTCGGTGACTCGGGGCGGCTCCTTTAGTGTATTTAATTCTCTCCTCTCGATTTGATTCCATTCACGCCTCCCTCGCCACACCCCCGGTGACCATTCCACGGCCGCCACTCCTCGCTCGTCCCTCGAGGCAGCTCTTTTACATACGGGGCGGCGGAGGCTCCTTCGGGGCGACTTTTTTGTTTTACTTTGGTTTATTCTCTGTATTTTATTCTGTTCCGACCTCGCTCCCTTCTCTGGCGACCCCCGCCAGGGCCCATCCCAGGCGGCTCTTCAGTGCCAGGGGCCGGCAGGGCCCCCCAAGGGCCGATCCCTCTCGCATTCACTTCAGTCTCCACTTTGTGTTCCCAGCCCGCCCGTCCCGGGGCGGCTCTTCTGTGTTTGTGTCTCTTTTCAGACAGAGCTGGCATTTCACTGATCGATTCCCCACATTTTATGCCTGTTTAATGATATTTTATTGATTGTCTCGGAGATCAGGATCAACAGCTGGATCCTTCCGGCCGTGGTGCTTTCCAAGGAGAGCAGGACACGGGCAGAGCCGGGAGAACCAGCCTGCGATCACCCAGTGCCCCCTGGGAGAGGTGTTGGAGAGCAAAGCCTCCCTTCAGGTGGGAAGGAAACTCTGCATTTCGTGAGCTGCCTGGACAATGTGTGCC